GGCCAGCAGTGGAACACTCCCTCTCTAGGGAGGCCTTCACTGTACAGAACTCACAGGGTGGAGTGTGACCTGTGCACAGGTGGAGGGAAGGTGGCCAGCAGTGGAACACTCCCTCTCTAGGGAGGCCTTTATTGCCCAGAACTCACAGGCACAACAGAGTGGATGCACATGGCCTTCAGTGGAGCCAAGAGCAGTTAGGGACACAAACCCTCTCCTCCAAGTCCACAGGACAGACTCCCTTGGGGATAAGGTGGTGAGAAGGGGTGAGACAGCAGTCTGTGCATTTCTTCGGGCTGCCGTAATTGTATTATGAACTGCAGAGCTTAACTTTATTACCTCAACGTTCTGGAGGCCAGAATCCTGACATCAGGGCATCCGCAGAGTGTTTCTTCCTCAGAGCAGCTGGGAAGGTCCTTCCTTTCCTCCTCTCGTCTCTGGTGGTTATTGGAAATCCTCAGTGTTGCTTGGTTGCAAATATAGAGGAACAGTTATGGAAGGATGCCTACTGAGGCCCAGGAGACAATTCAGAGCCATCCCCACAGGCAGAGACCTTGCAAAGGCATCTTGGCTGGAGGAAGCCTAGGTGGGTGAGGATGTACAGCCCAGGAGCATGGCAGGGCCAGGGACGGAGAGTCTAGGAAGAGGTGTTGGGGTGAGGGTTCTTCTGACCTCACCAACCCAATAAGACTCCACTGCAGACAAGCCCAAGAGACTAGATGAGGAGCCTGAGCAGAAATGGAGGATGACCAGATACAGGAAGGGGGCTATGCCTGCTGAATGGATGGGCGGGGTGCTTTGCCAGCCCTGGATTTTATCAGAAGTGCACTGATGGGCCCAGGAGAGGGTTCAGGAGCCTGCCAGGAGCCTGGGCAGGCAGAGAAGCTGCTGTTCCCTCTTTTTTTTTTTTTTTAATGTATTTTGTAGATGTAGATGGACACAATACCTTTATGGGGGGGGGGGTAACCAGGGATTGATCTCAGGGGCACTTGACCACTGAGCCACATCCCCAGCCCTATTTTCTATTTTATTTAGAGACAAGGTGTCACTGAGTTGCTTAGCACCTTGCCACTGCTGAGGCTGGCTTTGAATTCACAATCCTCCTGCCTCAGCCTCCCAAGCAGCTGGGATGACAGGCAGGTGCCACCATGCTCAACTATTTTTTTTCTTTTAATTGTGGTGCAGGGTGGAACTAGTGTCTCCCATGTGCTAAGCCAGCGCTCCACCACTGAGTCATAGCCCAGCCCCTGCTGTTCCCTCTTGTTCAGGGAAAGACCTTCTCTCCTTTGAACACGGCCAGTCCACTTCCTCATCTGGTCATCTTCTGTTCATTCAGGACAACTGAATCAACTACTGGGACCTGGGATCAGAGGATAATTACAAGATGGTGCAGGGAGGTATTTATGAGCAGGAATTTCTATGAAAATCTAAAAACACAGACTATTACCATAGCTGGAAACCAGGGTCTGTGTGTGGAGGGAAGCAGGTGAGGTCTGAATACTGGCCCGGGGGTGGCAGTGACCACACAACCGTGTCCTACCATGGGGTATGAACATCTCTGCTGACAGCATCAGTGTCCTAGGACCAATGCTAAGCACGGGTTTTCAGAGCCACCACAGCAGAGGGGGTGTTCTGAGAGCCCCGCTGCACCTCTCCCACCTGCTCTCTACCCCAAGTGATCTGTGGGCCCACTGTGACCTCCCCCAGATGTCTCTAGCCTGGACTCATCACAGGTACTGAGTCCCGTCACCCCCTGCTGGTCCTGGGCAACCAGCTCCTTGGCCCTGGATGCGACTGGGAACCAAGTTCCAAGTTCCCAGTGTCCACAGCCTCTGGGTGCCTGGACCCTGGCACCAGGAGACGGCCAGGGACCACAAATGACCCCTTTGGGACTAGGGCAGGGTGGAGGGAATCATCCCTCTCAGCACTGGTGTGCCCACCCCACAACAGATCAGAAATAAAGCAGGTTCCAAGTGCCAATAGAACATCAGCAGACACTGGGAAATAAATCACCCATCACAAAGACATATTTGATAAAAAACAAAATTTATGTATCAGTCTCCCACTGAAAAGGCCAGCCCAGAAAGTTCTGAAATGGCTTAGAGGCAGCAGCCAAGCATCTGGCTTCAGAACTGGCTATGTCGGCAGAGGGTCAGCACTGCAGGGCTCAGGCCAGAGTCCCATGGGGGCACAGGGAAGACATGGACCGTGCTTCCCACAGGGCCTGGAACCCAGGTCTGTGCAGGAGCGAAGGGTGTTGCTGGTGGGGCAGTTCAGAAGGCAGGACCCCGTCCCAGGTGGAGAGACTCTGAAGCCTGGGGGCACACACAGGGTTGAGGAGGGGAAAGGGCAGGACTCAGGAAGGGGAGTGAGTCTGGCTGGTCTTTCAGGCCACCAAGGCCCAGGTGCCTGCTGTGCACTAGGGGTGAGCTTTCCCTCAATGCATTCAACCTGCTGTCTCCACCGCCAGACCTCCCGCCCGCTGCAGCCCTGGGGTCCTGCCCGCCCTCCGCTCAGGCCCTGTGCTGGCCAGGGAGAAGCAGGAAGCCTGGCAGCCAGGCCCTCAACCAATGCCTGCTTCATTAGAGACCCACGTGCAAACCCACCATGGAGCCCGGTGCCTGGCTCCCAGGCCCTTCCCCACCCCGCCTAAGAGGGGCCCCTCAAGGAGCAGCGAGGACAGCCCACAGGACGCCTGGCCCCCAGGCGCACTGCTTGCCACTGGCACTAGCTGGGAACCTGGGGCCTGTCTGTCCTCCTGCTGACCCGGGCCCAGGGCAGAGCTGGCCCACAGCTGGTCCCCTGGAGGTCCTGGCTCAGGAGGAGGAGACCGGGTAGCCACGGTGGTTGTGCGAGGCCTCGCCCACAGTCAGCGTCAGGGACAGGCTGGGCTTGCGCTCCACCGCCTCCTCCAGGCAGGGCCGCAGGGGTCGGGCTTTGAAGAAGTCTGAGACATACCGGACCTGAGGGGTTTGGAACAGCAGGGTCGGAGGATGGCAGTGGGGGGTCCCCCCCTCACCCCGAGGGTGGGGGGGAGGGTCTGGGGGAGGGCCCCGAGGCAGCGCCAGGGTGGGTGGGGCTGGGACTCACAGTGAGGCCGGCCACCAGCGCCCCCTGCAGGAGGCCGACGAGGACGTCGCTCCAGTGGTGCTTGTGGTCAGACACGCGGGTGTAGCCCACGTACAGGGCGAAGGCCACCAAGAAGAACTGCACGGTGGGCCGCAGCAGCCGCGCCCACTTCCCGCAGAGCCGCGCCTGCACATACAGCTGCGGCGGGAGCGCATCAGCGGGGCGGAGGCCCACGGCACGGCCAGGGCAGGGGCACAGGGAGCCCTAGCCACACGGGCAGGAACCAGCCAGCAAGCCCAGCCGGTGCGGCCACCGGGGGCTCTGGGGCCAGGGTAGGAGCTCGGGGACCCCGAGCCCCACGGGCAAATCCACCTGCACCTCCTCCACCTCCCTGAGGGCAGTGGGAGAGGCACACAAGTGGGCAGAGAAACTCACCGCCAAGAACAGCATACAGTACATCCCGAAGGAGGAGTGTCCCGAGTAGAAGGAGAGCCTGGGAAGGAGTGTCAGCAGGGTCGGTGGGGGTGGCCACTGCCGTGCCAGCCAGCCTGCCCACCGCTGTGCCAGCCAGCCTGCCCAGGTGTCTCCAAGGGGGTAGGGCCCCGGCTGGGCCTGCAGCCTCCAACACCACAGTGACACAGCGGGACCAGTCTGCCACCCCAGGGCCCAGGCAGACAAAGCCAGGTCTGTGCCCATGTCCCCTTCAGGACATTTCCACGTCTGGAACCTGAGGGAAGAGCCATGCTTTCTACCAACTCCAGACTCAGCACAGGCCTGGAGGGACTGGCAGGAAGGCCATCATGCCCTGCTGGGGAGCTTGGAAGCAGATCAGAAGCTGGTGGCCACCAGAGGGCTCAACCACACAATCAGTTCTGCACTACTGTGCCACACACCAGGACGGCACAGGCTGGGACAGTGGCACCGAACTCCCATGGGGACCTGCCACTCCTGCCATCTGGTGCCTGCAGGAGGGTCTGGCTCCCCTCCACCTGATGCAAGGCCTTAACCACAACTGCAGGGCTCTGGGCAGGAACTGAGGCCGAGGAGAGGCCAGCCAAAAGCTAGGAGGACAAGGGCCACCAGGCAGAGGGCCCAGGCACTCTGCTTGGGACGAGAAGCTGGGCAAAGGCCACATGCCCCCCATGCAAACACTGGGCAGTTGTCCTTGTTCAGGAAATCTGTGTCTGTGGCTGGGGTGCAGCTGGGGTGCAGCACCACGAGACCCTGAGCCCACCCCAGCCCCGCCAAGTAAACCAGAGGAATCTACATCTGATGGCCACCTGTCCTGAGCTAACAGGCCAGGATTTCACAGCCACCTGAGACTCAACCCACTCAGAAACATCACTGCAGGCAGAATGCACAGACGCGGGGGGATGCGGGACCTCCTTCCAGAACGTCCCACACGCCCCGTCTCCACAAAACACTGACAAGCACCCAGGGGCTTCCGCCGACACAAGGGCAGAGCTACTTGAAGTGTCCCTGAGGTAGACACAGGACCTCCGGTAGACCCTGTTCAGAACTCAGCATTCAGCCTGAAATGTGAAGTGGGGTGAGGGAAAGGCTGCTGGAGGGAAAGAGCAATGGAAAGCTACCAGCAGGTAACCAGAGTGTCCAAACCCACTGCCCTTGGGGGCTGGGGCTGAGGCTCAGTTGGCAGAGTGTTTGCCTTCCAGGCACAAGGCCCTGGGTTCCATCCCCAGCACCACAAAAAAAAAAAAAAAAAAAAAAAAAAAAATTAAATTAAATTAAAAAAAAAAAAAAACTCACTGCACTTGACAAACTGTACCCTAAAACCCCCAGCCACTGAGCCAAGGAAGGGGGCAGCACAGGTACATCTAATGACCCAACAGGGGGCAGCAACACCCAGCCCCTCGGGAAGACTGTGTACCCCACAGTCTTCGGCCAGTGAGGAACCAGGGGATGGACTCTGGGCACAAAATGCAGACTGTCCCTGACCACCAGGTGCCCAACCCTGCAGGACTGTCCGTGGAAAGTCTTGCTTTCTCTGTGCTTCTGTCTCAGCCCGTCCTTTGGGTGAGCTTGTTTCTCACACGAAGGAAACCCTCAGAAGACAAGTCCCTGGGTAAGTCACCTGACCCGTGGCCAGAGCTGAAAGGACCCAGGACCATGTCTCCACCAGAGCAGAGCTGAATCCAGGAGGACAAATGACCCCAAATGAAAAACGTCCCTCAGCCAAGACGGGACCAGGGCATGGCCTGGTGGCCAGGCACAGTGGCCACACCAGCCCAGGAGAGGGGGCGCGGAGCACGTGGGCAGGGCGCGGGACGCAGCAACCTCCAGGCAGTTTGGTGAACTCAGCAAGCCACAGAGACACAGGTGACCAAACTGTCCAGACAAAGTCACGAGAACCTTAAGAGCAGCAAGAGGGACGCCCAAGTGCCCAGCGGACAAAGGCAAGGCCAGAGGCAGCAGGAAGGCTGGGGCAGAGGGCTGAAGGAGGCACCTGCTCGCAGCCTGGCACCTACCTGGCCTCGGTGACGTTGGCAGGGCTCCCCCTGCACACCCTCTCCAGCTGCACATAGACCGAGCAGTTGACCCGGCTCCAGTCTGGGTCGCAGACGGCCAAGAAGTTGGGGCGCAGACGGCCGATCATGTACTTGGCCAGGTCTGTCAAGGACTGGCTCACGGCCGCCCCGAACAAGAAGGTGCCCAGCACCTTGTAGAGGGCAGCCACGTAGTTGTTGAAGTCAGAGCGGGAATAGAGGCGATCGGTGTACACCAGGTAGGCTTCCCCAGCTGAGACCTGGCAGAGAGCAGATGAGGGCCACAGAGCCAGGTCTGGGCCAGCCCCAGGCACCCCACACCCTCAGGTGGCTCTGCTCAGCCCCACCCACTCCAGACCCTGCAGCCTTACCAGGATGACAGTGGCTGTGATGGTGACCCCGGCCATAAGCCCGTGGGTGATGGTGTCCGGGCGGTAGGGGTATCGGATGGAGTCATCTCCGCAGTAGAACCCTCGCTGGTACGGGGTATTCACCAGGGTCAGGATGGCGAAGGGCAGAGAGGCTGGAGAGGCCAGGGAGGGACGTGGAGCCCTGCCGTGGACACTGCTTGGGCCTCTCCACGACCCTCCAGTGGGACCCGGCACCACCAGAGTCCCGACTCTCCCTGGGCCACAGGCGGCCCTCTCAGTGCTCGTCCACCCCAGCTCTGCTGTCCACTGTCCACACATCCACCTGACTTAGCTGCCCTCCTGACCACCCACCCCTGGGTCACCGTCACAGGAGGAAACGCCCACTCTTCCCATTTCCTGTCCCCTGTGGAAGCAGTCATTTATGTGACACGAACACTGGACATCCCCATGTGCTGTGGTGTTCAGGGCTGGCTGTGGCCACGCAGGGCTGAAGAGCCACCACAGCCCAGGGACACAGCAAGCCAGGGGGCACAGCCCAGGCCCTTTGCCCAGCACCCATCCCTTCTCTACCTACAGGTCAGGCTGAGACCAAGACATACCCAGCTCTGTCCAGGAGGGCTAGTCCAACAGCCCAGGCCTCATCACAGTCGCCTGACCAGAGAGGGCCCCAAAGCCAAGGGAGGCCTGGAGACAGCAGCCGGCCACAGGGCTGGGCAGAGGGCAGCGCCCTCCCCCATGGCGCGGCTCCAGGGACAAGCCCAGGCAGGGTGCCCTTTGCCCCCAGCAGGGAGCTGGGTGTGAGTGGGTGCGGCTCTTCTGGGACTTGAATGCCAGAAGGCAGGAGCCACACTCCCCACAAGCCAACCTGGGGGACCTCCCTGGGGAAACACTCCAGGGAGGAGACCAGAGGTCCAGAGGCAGCCGCCCTGTGGGAAAGGGCAGTGTACCAGCTCATCAGGGAGGCCGGTGGGAGCCCAAGACAGGGTGGGGGCCCAGGGACCAGCACCCCAGGTCAGAGGCCCTGCCCAAGATCCAGTGGACCTGGGGTGGAGCCCAGACCAGCAGCCCTGCCCCAGCCCCTTCTGCTGGGGGATTCAAGAGCAGTACCCAGGGCTGGGTTCAGGGCACTGGAATCTGGCCCAGACAGGGCCTCCTCTTCATTTGGGCATCTCCAGAGCTGCTCTGTCCTCCTCTGCTCCATACCTCTACCACCTACACCTGTGCTGTCGGAACTGTTTACAAACTCAGGCTTCTCAGGAGGGAACTAACTACCTGGGCCACTGCTCTGGCACACTGCAGCAACGTACAACTGACTTTCAGCGCTGCCCTGCTGCTGTGTGACTCCACCAGGTGGTCCCACCTCTCTGGGCCCAGGCTGCTTGGTCGGAAAGGTGTAAATTATTTGCAGGTCCTTGATGCCTAACATACAGTAAGTACCACACATCTGTTTAAACAAACAACACAGGCACTCAGAAAACAGGACCCAAGGCTAGCAGATAAAGAGCCATCGGGACTTACTGCTGTTACCTGACCCACTCTAGAGAGGGTGGGCCCGGCCTCCCCAGCAGAATCAGAAGCCAGACAGGGGAAGGAAGACGGCCAATGAGGCCCAAGCGCCCGCCCCCGCGGGGGCAGCAGCATTCCGGGGCCATTGTCCACTGGGCCCCAGGGCAACACTCGGCCTTTGTTCCCAGGACCTGGGCCGGGGCGGGCGGGGCCTCGAGATGCGCCCTCCCCCAGCGCAGCCCGCAAACCGGCCCGGCAGGTTAGGCTCCGCGCGGGAGGCCCGGCCGCAGCGCGGCAGCCCGGGGCGGCTGGTCAGCCTCTGGGGCCCGAGGGCAAGAGCTAGGGATCTCGTCTGCATCAGGACGGCCAGGCTGGGCGGGTCCGGGGTCCCCCCGCCCGCCGGCGCCCCCTGGCCCCGCGCAGGATCTTGCGGCCGGGGGCGTGTCCGCCCGGGTCCCCACACCTGGGCCCGCGGCTCTTACCGACCAACACGCACAGCACGTCGAGCAGCACGAAGACCCACCTCCGCTCCATGTCGCCCCCGTCCGGGCCGTGCCCGCGACCCCCGGAGCGCGTCCCAGCGCGTCCCGTCGCGTCCCAGGGCCGCAGGGTCACATGGCCGCGGAGCCGCCCCGGCGGAGGGGAGGGGCGGGGGCGGGGCGGTGACGGGGGCGGAGCGGGGCGGTGACAGCAGGAGGGGCGGCGGGGTGGCCGGGGAATGCGGCAGTGCAGGGATGGGGGCACGCGTGCGGGGTGCGCGGGAGGGGAACAGGGTGAGGAGCGCAGAGCACAGGGATCTCCGAGCTGAGAAAGGCCGCTGGACGCTCAGGGACAGCGGGCTCGAGGACACGCAGGGTGTTCCCCAGGGCGTCCCCCAGGGCAAGGGCGGCGGAGTACGAGCAGGTGGCTATAGGCAGAGTTTGGGTGCACAGAGGCTGCAGATATGGGGTGTGGACAGCTTGGAGCCCACCCCGAAGGACACCTGCTCTGGGCTTGGCCAAGCGACACTTTACGGGGAAGGGCACCGGTGCTGGACACCCTGAGCCCTGCAAAACCAGGAAGTACTGGGTGGGTGGTGTTCTGGCTCAGTCTCAGATGTCACTTCTTTCTAAAACTATGATCCTGGAGTGCTTGGGATACCGGGCAGGTGGGAAGGTCCAGTTCCTCCAACACCCGGTTGTGTGGGTGGAAAGATCTGGATGCACCCCTTGGCACACTGTTGTCCCCACTCCACGGAAGGGCACAGAGAGATGCCCAGAGGTCAAAACTTTGATGAATGGAGCAGAGCCTGCCCTGCATCCACACAGATCCAGGGAACCCTGGGACATGGGTGCCTGGTGGGTGGTGGTCAAGGGCACCCTGATTGGGGAAAACCAAGGCCTGAGGGACCAGTGGCAAAAGCGTTCGGTGTCTAACATCCACATTGGATCCTTTTGTCTGGGACCATCTGGAAAGCTGACTTGACTCTTTCCAGCAGGTGAACCTGGTCACTTGATGCTCACAGTGAGAGTGCTAGGTCTGGGACTTGAATCCAGGGTGCTCTGCTGCCTTGACCACCAAGGTCATGCCCCTGAGCACCAGCAGTCCCCCCCGCCCCCCAACAATCTCAACAACCTCAAGCCAGCAGCCCAGGTCCAGAGGAGGGCAGCTTGGCCCAAGGTCAAGCAGCTGGGCTGGACTGCACTCAAGAGCCCCCTCAGCCCACTTCCTGCATATACCTGGGGTGCAGGTGGTCCTGGGGAATCCTGAGAGCACCCAGGTGGACAAGGCACAGCTGCCCTGTGGGGGTGAGGGAAGGTCCAGTGCCCAACTTTGCACAGGCAGTTTAACTGGGTCCACCAGCAGGGCAGGGTGAGTTTCAAGTGCCGCCCCAGCTCCAGGTTCTGCAGCATCTGGGGAGGCACGTAAGGGCACCCAGAGCCCCAGGCCCACTGCACACCAGGGCAGCCAGGTCTGACCCCCTGTGCATGAAGATATCCCTTGTTGCACGGTCGTCATGAGTGGGTTTCAGATTCAAGCCACCCAGGAGGGCTTGGGCTCTGCCCACCTGGCACAGGGCAGGGGGCCCCACCCCATCATGGCCCATTTGTCGGTCATGCCCACAGAGCCATGGATTCTATTGTGAGAATCTCCCCCAACGTGAAACCCTGGGCCAGGCATAACTGTGATGTCCATGTGGATGGCACCATTACGGCCCCCATCTCTGCTACCTAGGACAGGGCCCTCGGGATGTGTAGACGCCCCTCCACACTTCCTGCAGAGGGAAGGGGTAGCAGCTGCTCAGGGGCTGCTGGCAGAGGCTTCAGGGCAAGTGGGGCAGGGAGGGTAGACCACAAGTCCTTCCTCTTGGTTCAGGATTTGGGTCAGTCCTTAAAACCCTGGGCAGGGTCAGGATTAAAACCTGGTGGGGACAGCAAAAATCAGGATTAGGGTTTGGATTTGGGTCAAGGTTCCTACATCTGTTACCTGGGGTTGTCCACACCTTGAAGAGCTACTTCCTTAGAGTTCTCACATCCAGAACAGACTGCCAGCCCCAGCTGCCCATTCCCCCTCACAGGGGAGGCCCTGAGGGGAGACGACTGGGCTGGAAGTCCGCCCTCCCTCACCTGCAGATGGAGACCTGGAAGGGATGGACGGGTGCTGGGGTCCAAGAGAAGACTAGTTCCGGGGGCCTGGTGGTTCCCAAGCAATGGAGCTCAGTGCCACCTATGCCCACTCAGGGCCTCACTGTATCTTACAGCCTCCAGATGGCAGTGGGGATGGAAGTGCCCAGGCAGTGTGTGGAGGGCCTGGCACTCAGTAGGTGCCAACCAAGTACAGACCGCACTCTACCTGCACCCTCCTCTCTTGGTGAAGTTGCACACCAAAGTCAGGGTTACAAGATTCCCTACCTCCCAGGGCCATGGAGGCCACAGGTTAGAGCGGTGGGGAGGGGGGGGGGCTGCCAACAGGACTCAAAGACAGTTGGTGGGTAGGCAAAGCTCCGAGGAGCTGGTGTGGGAATAAGTCTCGGTGTGCTGGATCTCCTCTGCCCAACTTTAGACCCCATGGCTTGCAGCAGGCACACTGGGAAGCACTGTTGCAAGGCCCAGGAGGCAGACAACAGGGCTGGGGGATGTGCGGGACACCTTCAGAATGTCCTGCCTTCAGATCCAGGGTCCAGCGCCAGTGTCCTCGGGGTCCAAGAACCGCACAGTGGCACAATCCTTGGAGAGCCCCCTCATGTAGGACCACACCTCAGAGTCAGGGATGGGATGAGCTCCAGGGTCCTGGGTGAAGACAGGCTGGCCACAGGCTTGCACCTGGGTCCCCTGTGGGCCCAGACACACCACCTAAGCTGTGCCTGTGCCCAACAGCACCAAGAGGGCAAGGCCAAACACAGCAGAGGCCTGGGAAGTGAGCAGCAGGAGCTGAATGGAGGCCTGGAGGCCCGGAGCCTGAGGCTGCAGGGCCACTGGACTGAGCCCTCACCAGACAAGACAGGAGCGCAAGGAGGTACCTCAGCAGTGTAGTGTCGGTCCAGTCCAGCCCATTCACACTCTCCAGGCCCACCCCTGCCGCAAGCTGAAACAGGGCAGCAGAAGCCATCGGCAAAGCACAACACAGGACCCACAGGCTGAAGACCCAGCTCTGAGGCCACTGTGCTCAAGGGTTAAGGGCCTAGGGCTGGGGATGTGGCTCARSSG